GCTGGGCACCTTTAAAACCCAATTAAAAACATGGCTGTTTATTCAGGCCTTCCCTCCAGCCAACTCTTGATTTTTTCTTACTTTTCCTTTTTATCTTTACTGCTGTTCTTGTTTGATTATTATGTATTTGTCTATGTTTTATTATTTGATTTTATATTTGGAAGCCGCCTAGAGTGGTCCGGTGGGCCAGATAGGCGGGGTATAAATCAAATAAATAAATAAATAAATAAATAAATAATCACCCACTCAGAGAAAGAGGCAGGAGAGGCAACTCTGTGCACCTTCCGGGGACTGCTCAAACAGCCAAAGAGGAAGAGAAGAGGAGCGCTTGCTGGTTGGTGAGTGGGTCATTGGCTGGGGAGGTGGGAGAAGGGAATGCACAGCACCTGTGGTGCCAGCATACAAACTGACACAAATCTCTGAATCGAGGGTTGTGCCAATCTCTAATAGTAAATGAATATATGGATCTTTAATAAATCCTAAAACAGAATCCCCCCAAAACTATACAAATAGTTTTATACTCTATGTTTACCTCCAGTCTACCAGTATTGTATTGTTTTTTTCCTACAGCCTACATACAAAATATGAGTAGCAAGCATAGTCCCTTAAAGCCCATGTAAAGCCCATCTATGTTAAACAGATGCAACAAAAATCTGTATCCCTTACAGAAACAAACATCATTAGTTCGACCTGTTTGCATTGGCTTGTCTAGACACCTCTTCCAATCTTCTCATTCTTCTCCTTACTGTATCAGCATTAGGTACATGAGGATGATCTGCAGGCCCATTAGGAACTCCTATATGAACTCCAGTTGAAGGTCCACTATAAAAAAAGTAACAGCAATTTTGATTACTATTGTCTAATAGTACATGTCCTGTACTTTCCAAAGAATTTAAACATACCTTTCAACAGGCTCCTGACAAGGCTTTTCTTTCAATTCAGCATCTTTTCCTTCTGCAATTTTAATATGTTCTCTTTGTTGCTCTATCTGATCAAAAACAGCATGATAGTGTTCATATGGTCCTCGACCAGGCACAGGCAAAGGCACTAGAGCTCCTCCACCACCAAAAAATTGAGTCTGAAGATTTAAAAACAAAGTCTCATGTTCTGATTCCAACCCATGCCATGTTAACACAATACAAGTCTGATTTATACACTACTATCCCACCATCTAAAATGTTGCCTTTGCATTACAGTATGGTAGTCAATGATACAAAACAACATTCACATACTAGCCTGGCAGTTATTTACCTATCAGCAACAGAAGCCCATAAAACCTCCCATTTGCTCCAATCTTCTTACACCCACTAAGAAACTAGTATGGCACCTGTTCTTAAAGGTCTTATTAGACTTCCTTTTGTCTGGAATAGTCTTCTTACAGGCCACTCAGAAACTAGTATGTCTTATTAGACTTCCTTTTGTCTGGAATATAGAGCCCTAAGGATTTACTAATCATTGCCTTAATGTTTCATTTGAGTAATAAATATTATGTTTATTCAAGTAACCTGCCTATTTTTCACCAGGAAGATAGCTTCTATAACCAACCCAGCAGATGCCAATACACGAAGATTCATTACACTGAAATATGAAATATATACATGTGAAACATACATTTATTTTATCTTTCATATTTATGGATAGTGTGCCATTCTGTATTCTCTAACCCAGGAGTGGGCAATTAATTTCTATGGGGGGGGGCACATGAAAAATCTGAACTGTGTTCGGGGGCCGAACCAACTTTACTTAAAAATAAAATGAAACAGTGATGTTATGATTGTTTTTATTTTAAACTTGTTAATCTTCACAAATACTAAAGAGGTTTTTTTACGGCATGTTAAAGATTAACAACTGACCAACGTTAGACAAAAAGCTATACGTGGTTTTGATGTTCAAAACTATCCGTGGGCTGGACAGGAGCGGCTTGTGGGCCATATGTGGCCCTTGGGCCGCACTTTGCCCAGGTCTGCTCTAACCAGTTCACCTTATTGTTCTAATCCTAACATAGTTTAAAGGGTAGCTATTGGATAGGACTACTGACAGCGATTCATGGTCTGTCTCTTAATACTGTACTCAACAAAGCCATAAGCTGACATTACTTAAGTGCTGCATGAATACAAATTACTGACTGGCTGGAATCTTATTGCATATATGTATGTGCCAGTGTAATTTGAAAATGAACTATGTATGATAGCAAATGCCTACATAATCTTCTTAGTTTGTTGAAATATACACAGAGATGCAGGAGCAGCTATAATTAACAGGATTTTGGTCAATGATCAACAAATAACTGCTGATAATTAAGGGTTAATAACTAGACTGTGATACATCCATATATATTTAGGAGAAATAGCTCCCAACCTTAATTTCAGCACTACCACCTGTGCTGAGCACATTCCTCCATCCTTGCTCTCTGGCTCTGTTTATTCGTTCCATCTAAAGAAGAAGAAGAAACGAAAACTTCACTGTTAAAACTTGTAAAGGCTCTGAAAGCCAAACCTGACAGCTAAAAATTAAGGTCAAGCATTTTACCCTTTCCTTCTCAAGTCTTCTCATCTGCTCAATCTTCATGAAACTGATCTGAAAAATCAAAATTAGAATTTTTGAAGTGACAGTATATTAACTCTCCAACAGCAGCAGTTACAAATGAGTGAAACTCCTAATTTACCTGCTCACGCTGTCGTCTTTCCTTCTCAAAAATATCTAGTCTTCTCTTTTTAGCAGCTTCCTGTGGAAAGTAAATACAGTATAGGCTTAAATTATGAACCATTATTTCATCAGGTTTAGGTGAGACTGCTTAGGAAGTCGTGACAAAAACACAAAGTTGTATATAAACATGTATATGAAAGGCAGAGTGTATCTAGTGGAAGGAAATAAGGAGGAAAGGTTTGAAGATTTTCTTTTGTATTTAAAAGCATTTATCACAGTTTCCTTTGTTTTCATGTCCTTATACCTCAAACATTTTCCTCCTTTCTTCTCCTGGCTTCCCTTTCTTCAGTGCAGATGGAGGGGCCTAAATAAAGAGCGAAACTACAAATTAGCAAAAAGGTATGCTCTAGGAAGTGAGAGTGTAGAACCAATGTATGTGGGAACATTCATTTGTAAACTTACCATAACCTTACATCCTAGTCCTATCCATGTTTACTAGAAATAAAATGTCATTTTGTCTTACAAAGCTTTTTCATGGGACTCTAGGGCAGTTGTTCAGCTGAGCTGCCATATTTACTTTCAAATGTTTTATTGATTTCAGTCAGTATCTACTGCCACAAAAAAAACAAAAACACAAGTGCAGCATAGTACTACAGTCTTAATGAATTCTGGGGACTGCAGGCAAAAGTGACTGCTATACTTCCCCCTTCATCTATGTTACTGCTGTCTGGACAAAAAGAGAATGTATTAAAACTTGATAAATGATTTTAAAACTATGTAATTAATAGAAAATGTAATATAAACAATGCAGGTAAGATTCCCTCTAAGGTGCGTGCCTGTGACTCCACCTCCCTCCACACAGCTTTCCGACTCCTTGGTGTAACAACTGTTTTTAGCCCCTTTGGTTCCGGTCACAACGGAACCCCGCGTGTGGGAGGATGGAGTTGCATGCACATGCAGGGGCGAAGCCACACACATGAGAGGCAGAGCCCCACCCAGCAAGGCTGAAAATTAGAGGGTACATTGAATGCAGGTATATCTGTTGTAACGAAAGCTCTTCTCCTTTTGCTGCTCCACTGCGGCAACATAGTGATATATGTGACCTTTTTAATGCCAGACAGACACCTACTGTGCAAATAAAATACTGTCAATTATACAGTGGTGCCCCGCATAGCGACGTTAATCCGTTCCAGATTAATTGTCGCTATGAGGAAACATTGCTAAACGGATCGAAAAAACCCATAGGAACGCATTAAACTTGGTTTAATGCGTTCCTATGGGGCCCAAACTCACCGTTGAGCGAAGTTCCTCCATAGCGCCGCCATTTTCGCGCCCTCGGTAAGTGAGGGCAGGGCACGAAAACACTTGCGGTGGCCATTTTGGGCATCTGACGGCCATTTTGGAACCGCCGATCAGCTGTTCTAGGAACATCGCAGTGCGAAGATTGGTAAGCGAAATGCTTACTGATCATCGCAATGCGATTTTCGCCCTATCTAACCATCGCAATGCGGTCACATTAGCGATCTAAAAAAATAGATCACTATGCGAATTCGTCGTTAAATGGTATGCTCGTTATGCGAGGCACCACTGTATATGAATCTCAATAATAGTTGTATAAGAACCCCAAACTGCTTACAGACTGCTATGTCTATTAATATAAAAGTATTTTAATAAAAACATGCATTTGCAAATTTTAAAATGCAGATCCAAGAACAACCATATCTTTTTCAAGAAGCCATTTAAATAAACTCAGAAGATAACCCATAGATAATTAAAGTAGGTATTACAGTTATGGTAAAAGCCATAAACAAACTAGAACACTTCAAATACACTGAAAGTACGTTGCAGACAGATAGAAAAGTGGGTGCTGGTTGTATTTTTCTTCCGTCGTCATTGTTTAGTCGTTTCGTCGTGTCCGACTCTTCGTGACCCCATGGACAAGAGCACGCCAGGCCCTCCTGTCTTCCATTGCATCCTGGAGTTGTGTCAAACTCATGTTGGTCACTTCAGTGACCCTGTCCAACCATCTCATCCTCTGTCGTCCCCTTCTCCTCTTGCCTTCACACTTTCCCAACATCAAGGTCTTTTCCAAGGAGACTTCTCTTCCCACGAGATGGCCAAAATATTGGAGCCTCAGCTTCAGGATCTGTCTTTCCAGTGAGCACTCAGGGTTGATTTCCTTTAGAATTGATAGGTTTGTTCTCCTTGCAGTCCAGGAGACTCTCAAGAGCCTCCTCCAGCCCCACAATTCAAAGGCATCAATTCTTCGGTGGTCAGCTTTCTTTATGGTCCAGCTCTCACTTCCATACATCACGACAGGAAAAACCATAGCTTTGACTATTCGGACTTTTGTTGGCAAGGTGATGTCTCTGTTTTTAAAGATGCTGTCAAGGTTTGTCATCGCTTTCCTCCCAAGCAGCAGGCATCTTGTAATTTCGTGGCTGCTGTCTCTATCTGCAGTGATCATGGAGCCCAAGGAAGTAAAATCTGTCACTGCCTCCATATCTTCCCCTTCTATTTCCCAGGAGGTGATGGGGCCAGTGGCCATGATCTTAGCTTTTTTGATGTTGAGTTTCAGATCATTTTTTGCACTCTCCTCTTTCACCCTCATTACGAGGTTCTTTAATTCCTCCTCACTTTCTGCCATCAGAGTGGTATCATCTGCATATCGGAAGTTGTTGATATTTCTTCCGGCAATCTTAATTCCGGTTTGGGATTCCTCCAGTCCAGCCTTTCGCATGATGTATTCTGCATATAAGTTAAATGAGCTGGGGGACAATATACAGCCTTGTCGTACTCCTTTCCCAATTTTGAACCAATCAGTTGGTCCATATCCAGTTCTAACTATTGCTTCCTGTCCCACGTATAGGTTTCTCAGGAGATAGAAAAGGTGATCAGGCACTCCCATTTCTTTAAGGACTTGCCATAGTTTACTGTGGTCCACACAGTCAAAGGCTTTTGCATAGTCAATGAAGTAGAAGTAGATGTTTTTCTGGAACTCTCTGGCTTTCTCCATAATCCAGTGCATGTTAGCAATTTGGTTTCTAGTTCCTCTGCCCCTTCAGAATCCAGCTTGTACTTCTGGCAGTTCTCAGTCCACATACTGCTAAATTTTTCTTCCAGCATATAACAAAAGATCCATGCCAAAACCATAGTCTGAATGGTACCTAAAGGCTGCCACTGAAGAAAGCAACTGGATCTCCTGAGGCAGAGAGATCCATGTCCAGACTGCTACAACATAGGCAACTCTTTTGCAATTGTTCTTCTAGAAGTAATGGGACACAAAGCAGAGCCTTCTCTGATAAATAAGGGCATGTTCAGTCAGGGATAGTTGGAACTGTCTGGATTGCACTTAAAAGGCTATCTCTAATGTGATCTCTCTCTTGAATGATAATTTTTATTTCTTTTGTTAGAGGGGTCCGGGCAGGTCTTTGGATTGTCTCAATGTGTCCCTCTTTCAATTAATGACACTCCCTTTGTGCCCTCATCTCTGCCTTTTCCTGTGGCCTTCATTCAGCACGCAGTGGCAAATTTCCTTTTTTATATATAAAGTAAATGACACAGTGAAACAGCAATGCCTAGCATGGCACATATAATACCACCAATGTATCTCATTAATGCCTCAATAGGAATATATATATAAAATTAAAATGGCACAATAGATTAAAATTGGGGGGGGGGTTGTGTTCCCTGTTGTCCCATTCATTGCCATAATCCACCAAATACATCACAAAGTTGTCACCTCAGATAACACCACCCACAGTTCTATTTTGTTGGAATAATCACCCACAAAGGCTACAGAATGGCCTAATTAGGAGTGCTCTGAATGGCATCAAATAAACTGTAGCCTTACTGCTGTGCCAAAAAGGTGCAGGACAGTTTTTTAAAAGGGGGCAGGATGGATTTCTCTAAATCAAAATACAATTAACCAAAAAGCACCAAAAGTGATCCAAATATTGAGCTATTCTGTCAGTGCATACATACCCTAAATAGCATCCAGTGATAGATTTTTAAGAATTGTAATCCCTCCAAGGGGATCAAAACACCATACATGATTTTCACAACATGGGATAGGTTATGCTGAGGGGGCATGGCCAATCCCACTTCACCTTGTGAGATTCATAATCGAGTAAGAATGTGAACCCATGTCTCTCCAGCTGCACGCTGCAATCATTATACATTCCTGTGGATCCTTTTAAATATCCACGTTTTATCCATGGGACAATGAGTTCAAATGCAAGATGTGTGGGATTTGGCATCTTGCTCCAAAAAGTTGGTGCACTGTATGTAGAATGAAGTTAGCATAACATAAACCCACCAGGCTGTGTTACTTCACATTTCCAGGAGCTAAATGAACACTTTGATCTGAACAAATATTTGGAGTTTTCTTGGTGCTATATTATTTCAGGTTTCCTTTTTAGAAATGTTTATTGACCTTCCCCCAACCCCGATATTGCTGGTGTCATTTCACATAAATATACATACATAGTCTTTATATATCTCTGTGCAGAACAAATTGAAATGCTATCAAGCATTCCAACCCTCTTGTGAGCCTTCACCTAGATATGTAATATGTGCAACTTTCTATCAATGTATACTTGTACCACTGTAAAGACCATCAAGTTTAATTTGGCATAAGCTTCAGTGGATCTCAGCTACCCTATTTCCCCCCAACACTAGCAAAAATATTTGCCTTTTTTCATTTATGAATATTTTCTCACCTGTCTACATTTAATTATAGGCTTCTCATGGAATTTTTTAGCTGCATCTCCAGACTTCTTAAGGATTAAAGGCACTCCATATTTAGCGGCAGGTTTGGTAATTTTCTGAGCAGGAGCAGCAGAGGCCAAGTTTTGTCCTTGAGCTGGTCTCTTTGCTATGTGAGAAACAAAAGAAATGCCAGTGCTTCTGTACTACACAACAAAAATGTCTTCCAGAGAGTTCACTATTATCTGCAGTTTCTAGTATCCACAGGAGGCTTGGAACCAATCCCCAGTGGATATGAGGGTGCTACTGTACTGGAAGCTACTCTTTCTAAGTATAACTAAAGAAAACTACTCATATATTACCTGGTCCAGCATGAGGCCCAAACTTTTGCAACATTTTATGGCTGAATTCTTCTGCAATAAGCTAAAACAAAAGTGGTATGTTACAAGGTAAACGAGATAAACTTATCTAGCTATTAAATACCGGTAAATGCATTTGTAGCAATAACAGTATACTGTAATATATTACTAAAAAAATTACTAGTTGTGACTCTGAAATGTAGATTAGAAGGAATTACTAAGAATACATTAATGACATTATTTTAAAAGTGCAAACAAATAACAGTGTTTGTGTTACAAGAGGTCACTGTTCACATCTGTGAGCCATGACATACTGATATTTGGAAATAATTGCCACAAGGGTTATTCCTATCCAGTACTGGATAAACTCATAGGAGGCAAAGTATGACAGTCTTCGCCCCTTGTGCCCTTGGCTACATCATTCTCTACACAAGGAAGATAGTGGTCTCCCTAGCTCTGGTACCTTCTTGTAGGGTTTGATACCCTAGAAAATCGCACACAGGGATTCTTTCCCTTTTAGACAATCAGCTTTCATATGTAGAACAAGCCTAACTAGACAGGAATGTCTGAAAAGGCTCTTCTTTCAGTGCTTTGCTGAGGTTATACCCATATTTGAAAGTGTGGCTAATTTTCCATCAATATTGCTATATAAGTGCTGTAGTATGACCTTAGTACTGTTCAGTAGGATAGTTTATAAAAATACAACAGTGAGCAATCTGCTCAGAGATACGCTCATTCAGTTGAGTACGTACAGCATATGCATTTTCAGAAGCAAAATATTTGGAATGAACTTTTAAAAGTTATAGCATAGCATAATATTTAGGAAAAAAGGAAAAAGGACATACCTGTGGTGTGAGAAATTTCTCAATACGTTTAGCTATAAAAATTTTCTCCAATATGGAGTTAACAGATGGTCTATCCCTAGGATTTCTTTTAAATAGCTGGGAAATCAGGCTCCGGAGTTCGTGGGAATAATGCACAGATACAGGTGGAAATGATCCAGAGATTATCTTAAGTACTAGGTTCTTCATATTACCAGCTTCAAACTACAGAGATAAGGACAATTTGAAGAAATGAAAGATTATTCAGTAATAGACAGGAAGAAATAATTAGATTTTATAATACTATGAAACTAAACATATTGCAAAATATTTAGAAGGCAACTTTCCATTTTTGTGAAGTTAATCCCTACAGGTCCTCCATATTTAAATTTTAATAAGATTAATCATTCTGAAGATTTTAAGAAGAATTAAACTCAGGAGAATGACTCTATAGGCCAATCCAATGCATAGACATGTATCCAACAAACATTTCTTCTTCTCCCCTATGGCTGATGTCTACATTGTTAGCTATGGTCTTTCCCAGTCACAGTTGACATAGGAAAGAGATAAACTTAATCATGTAGAAACAAGTTTAGAGTATTTTAAAAATAATATGAATTACCCTCACCAAGTGTTCTAATATAAAAATATGGGTAGCCACCATAGTATAATATAATTTTTTTCAAAAACTAACCACTTCCTTTGTTTCTCCCACATACATTTACCAAAATACTGTAACACAGAGAGGGCAAAACCTCTAGCATTTTTCAAGTAAAAATTCTGAATTATTATGACTAAAAACAGTTTTATAGGCAACTGTGAAAGGGTATTTCTGAAATGAACACTGTGGAATATATGAAGCATATCTCAAAGTTCCTACTTACTGCATGTTTCAGTGTACACATTTCATAAAGAACACAACCAAGTGCCCATATGTCACTAAACAAGGAAAAGAAACAGAAGGTTAGTTTGCACTGTTCTCTCCCACAACCAAAATTCCAATGTCGCCTTGGAATTTAGACTCGTTGACACTGGTGCGCACCATCTTTTTAACATCAGCTACGCCAGGAATGCATATGTATTTCAACTACAGATGGGGGTATTCATATTTGTATATGAATACCCCCGCACAGCTGGAGTTAACGAGCTGGACCACTCATGTGTCTGCCAGCGGCCCCGCTCTTCTTCCCAATTGCTCCAGTGTCCAGCTGGCTAGCCACTCCTGGCAGAAGGAGGGAAGACGAGTCTCCTTGCACGGCTGATGAGTGGCTAGCCAACCGGGCACTCCGGAGCAACTGGAAGGAACAGCAGGGCTTGCAGTGGACACGTGAGTGGACGGTCTGGCCCCAAGGGCCAGACCCTCATTAACTCCAACTGTGTGGGGTTATTCGTATTTGTATATGAATATGCCCATCTCTAATTTCAACTATAATAATATCTGTCATATGAATAGCATCTGAGCAAACAGCTGCTCAAAGATATTTTTCACCTGAGGCAAAGGACAGAACAGCACTTCCCATTTTACCTACAACGGCAACTGAAGTCAATTTCAAACTGGTAATGGAATAACATCCTCTACTATACCCAACTAATCAAGGGGTGGAGGGCAAATTATCTGGGAAACACTATTCTGCCCTCAAACAGAAGATAATGGCTGGGGCATGCCATTTCTGTTTTTCCCAAGGCATCCAGGCTTTTCTGTCTGAAAAGTTCATCTGCATCTGCCTAATAGTAGGGCTGCCCCTATTTCCACTGAGAGAAATTGCCCTAAGACCCTGGTTGTGAAAGAAGCAAAACTTCATTTGTAGCTTCTTTCCAAGTTCTTCCTCTGCCATCTTTTGCCACACCCCCACAGAAAGGAAGAAAATCCTCATTAACACCCCTCTCATCAGAGCAAGGTGTCTTACAGAAGCTAAATCCGGGAGTCTAGAAAATGCCATATTTATTAAATTTAGAAATTTGTAAATGTTCTAAAAACATTTTTACCACTGTTTTTAATATTGGTTTTTATCAGGATTGCTGCACAATTGTGAAGGGTGGGGTTTCACTTAACTGGGGCTTATTTTGGGGGAGGGGTAGGACTTATACAAGCTGGACATTACAAAACTAGGGTAGCAAAGTGGCAACATAAAAGTTCTAAAATGTGGCTAGATGTACAGGGAAGGTTCCTCTGTTTAAAGCAAGTTCCAAAATGAGGAACTACAAGCTCAGTTCAGGGACAACTGGTTTCAGATTTCACCTCTGAGGGTGTTATTAGAATTTTCCTCTCAGTCTTGTTGCCAGTAACCCAACAACTCAACCACTGCCTAGCTGTAATACGTTATTGCTCTAATAGAGATATCATCCTTGTCTTTGGGTTAAGGAAGCATATTTTCATTACCATATTTGTCAAGTTAACAGTTATTTGCTTTGCCTTTGAAAACTCTTTCTTTAAAGAGGCAGGATGGAACTATTTGTTCATAGTTCTCCAACAGGCAGAGTATACATTAGTTTTCCTATGTCCAAAACAATAATAAACAATTAGAATGACTAAAATCTGTCAGTTATTTCTATATTTTCTACACAATGAAATAACTAGAACAGAAAAGCAGATAAAACTGCAGTTTAATGAAGAATCCTGACATCTACGTATGCATAGTAAGATATAAAACATGTCGAGCCTGCTGCTAAAGGTTACCTTTTGTTGTTGTAAGGCTTGTTCTCACAGATTTCGGGAGATAAATAGTATGGTGTTCCTATACAAGTTCGAGCAAGCTCCACTGTACTAAAATAAAAAGGAAGCAAAAGTAATTAATTAAAATTGCCCCTGGTAGTATTACAACTTTGGAATAGGGTAGGGTATTAAAATATCACCTGTTAAGGACTCTAGCTATTCCAAAGTCTCCCAACTGTATTGTTCCGTCTTTGGTTAAAAATATATTCTACAAGACAAAAGAGAAAAACATTAAGCCAATAGCATTCAACAAATAAGGAAGGAACTTGGTCATTTTAATTTAAATCTAAAATTTAACAATAATCAAACCTAGATATTACCCTTAGATGAATGGTGATAGTAATAAGGTAGCAAGATTTGACACCAAGACATTATCTATTGAATCCAAAAGTACTACGTAAGGAAGTACTGCAGTCTTTTTACAAATATAATTGAGAGGGGAAGCATTGGCCAAGACCCATTGTTCAACTCCACACATATAAAGGCTGATGCTTCATACATAGATGCTAAAGACTTAATAGCCAGAATCCTGCTGCATAACTCCAGGCTTGTAAATGCTGATTATACCATCAGCTGCAGACTTTAACCATTAATTTGGAGTTTTTTAACCTTCCCTTTCCCCCAGCAGATTCTAGGCTCCCTAGGAATTCCTTTTGACCTAGAGAAACCTCTGGGAGCTTCAAGAGGGAAGCCCTTAATATCTGAAAACTGCCACTGATGGATCGGGACCAGATATTAATGGCTCCTCCTCCATCCCAAGGCTTCCCCAGGCCTCTCCGGGTCCAAAGGTATTTCTAAGGAGCCTCAGAACCTGTTATGGGAAAGGGTAAGAAGTTTAAATTAAAGATTAAAATCTGCATCTGATGACATGATCAGCCTTTACAAGCATGGAGTTATGCAACAGGATTCTGGCTATTAAGTTCTTGGTCAAGCATGCTACGCTATTCTCCTCTTATACTTCACAAATAGTTCTTATAAGTCTCTTTTTGCATATCACTTCATATGCACCTCTACCTCTGAATATTTTTTAAAGTCATTCAACCAAACTCCAGGTGTCCAACAGGTGTTTAATTTCAGTATGCAAACAAGATCTTAAAATGCATCTGCTTAAACATGCAGCACCAGAAGTTTAAATTAATTGCCTCAGATATCATACATTTGGTAAGCTGCTTCTAGTCACCTTCTTTCGCACACAGAGGATGAAAAGAAGCAGGGGCATAAATCCTATGGAGTGCTACAACTGTTTCTTTTAACACCGAACAGTGTTTTGGAATGAACCAGTCTTTACCTGTTCTGATAAGTCTAATCTATACTTTGAGATGGTGCCATCCACATACCAGTTTGGTACCTTTCCAGAAATTCACAAGAAATAAGCTTAAAGCTGTTCATTGGAGTATTGAACTTTTAACAAAATGTTTCTCTCTACCTGTGACTTTATATCACGGTGCAAAATTTTTCTGTCATGTACATGTTTCAGTGCTAAACAGATCTGTACAAACCAATCCATGATCTAAAAACAAGAGAGAAAAAAGGGGGTTAGGTTTCTTGCTAACCACAATGAAGTATTATCATTAAAACATCACAATATAATATTGTCCTTTCCTCGCAGTTTAATACAGAAAAAATAGTATGCAAAAAATCAACGTTGTACTTGTTAGTACTTAACACACAAATGTGTCATGGGACAAAAGAATCTATTTTTAAGAGTTTCAAGGAAAAATTAAATAATTTTAAACAGCGTCCAAGGAAAATCACAACAGGCAATAACCAATATTTGCCTCACATTTCAAGTGACAAACAATCTAAGAAAATCATAAATCAACAGATATGACAATTAGAGAACCTTCACTCTGCCTTTCCATCTATTTTTACTTACAATCCATCTCTTAAGTGCAAGTGGAGGACAAAGTTGACTTGGTTTCACAGTGTGCCTCCGTGAATTATCTGCCACTCAGCTCCTAGCCTGATACTAATTAAGATGGATGAGTGCATTAGGGGATTCCAAGTTCACCTTACAAAACGTCAAAAGCAATTATGGCAATCTGTAGTCCTACTCTTCAGTTTGCACTTTGAGAAAGGATAGAGAATTGTCTCAACTGTATGCCTCGGAAGCACTTTGAGCATCTCAGTGCAAAATGATTGGGATTTAACCTCATCAGTCTGATACCCTTGGAGTGATAGCCAATTTCCCTACTACATCCTGGTTTTAGAAGCCTGACATGATTGTCAGAAAACTGTGGATCTGTCCAGTTTGGGTCCCAATGCTTGAACCCCTTCTTCAGTTCTCTCCTGCAGCCTGATGACTTATGAACTCTTGAGGAATCAAAAGAAAGTCCATTCTTCAATGACAGACGTTCCACAAGGGGAAGTTTTTATTGTTTGTATGACACTCAGATACATAGTTTTATTTTAAAATAAAAAATTCATCTAGTTATGATTGTATAAATGATTTCTCTCTCTTTTGGGCCAAAGAATAAATAAAAAAAGCAAAGTGTGCTGCTTATATACTGCCCCATAGTGCTTAAGGCACTCTCTGGACAGTTTACAAGTTAATTATGCAGGCTACACATTCCCCCCCACCACCCAATGAGCTGGGTACTCATTTTACTGACCTCAGAAGGATAGAAGGCTGATTTAACCTTGAGCCGGTTACCTGGGATTGAACCCCGGGTTGTGAACACAGTTTTGGCTGCAGTGAAGCAGTTTAATCACTGCACCACAAGGCTCCTCTATAAGTTATTTCACTCATGGCGAAGCAGTTCTATCTTCAGATATATTGTCTTTATATTTTACATTTCTGAACAGAAATTATAATCAACTTAAGCATATATTACTTGAACATATACAGTGGAGTCTCAACTTATGTTCGGCTCCACTTACGAACTTTTCGACCTACGGACTTCTCTGGCCACAAAGTTTCACTTCGACTTGTGGCCAGAGAATCGACCTACGGACCAGAAGGGAGAGGGGGAAAGCGCCAAATTCAAATTTGGCACTTTCCCGGCCTCCCACTTCCGGTCTGTAGGCTGCAGGTCTAACTCCTGAAAGCCCAAAGCTGACAGCGGGCGAAGAGCAGCTTTCGGCTTTCCAGCTTCGAAAAGGTGCGAGTGGGGGGAGGCGGGGAAAGCCGAAAGCCACTCTGCACCGGCTGTCAGCTTTGGGCTTTCAGAGCTTAGAAAGCTGGACCCACTGGCCTCTTGTCTCCTGTTCCCGGTGCCCTCTGCCTCCTGTCCCTGGGAGGATAGGACACAGAGGACGGTGGGGACAGAAGGCAGAGGTCAGCGGGTGCAGCTTTGGAAGCCCTTGATTTTTTTTCTTTGGCCAGTTATGGATTCATGGGTTTTCAATGCATTCCTAAGGGAAATGGACCCTTGACCTATGGAATTTTCGACCTGCGGTCACAGTTCCAATACAGATTAATTCCGTAAGTTGAGGGTCTACTGTATAAAAATATTATGAGTATTTTTACCAAGCCATTTGTCAGCATTAAGATCATGAGTGGTAGCCCATGATGCCAATTTCCCCCCACTTTTCTCCTAAAATCTGTCTCACATCACCTATACTTTGTCTTGTTTGCTTTTATTTCTGTCATCTGGCAGATCTACCAGTTTACTTACACACTGACCTGGTTACATGCCAAGTGCTTCTCTAATCTTTCCTATTCAATTCTATATACAGTGGTGCCTCGCATTACGAGTGCTCTGTTTTACGACAAAATTGCAAAAGCGATCGCAAAATGATGTTTCCTATGGGGGAATTTTGCTTTGCGATGATCGGTTCCCTGCTTCAGGAACCGATCAGCGCAAAGCGAGGATTTTCGGCCAGCTGATCGGCAGTTTCAAAATGGCTGCCGGGTTAAAAAAAAAATGCTCCCCGCTCTTTTCTGGGATGGATTCCTCACTGCACAGGCAGCGAAAATGGCCATGCTATGGAGGATCTTTGCTGGACGGTGAGTTTCAAGCCCCTAGGAATGCATGAATCGAGTTTTAATGCGTTTCGATTGGCTTTTTAATTTCGCATTACGACGTTTTCATTCTACAGTGATTTCGCTGGAACGAATTAACGTTGTAATGCGAGGCACCACTGTATTCTGAGCATACTTAGCAATCTGCTAACATAACAGGCAGCCATATTGCTCGCTTGCAGTCATACTATTTTTCACATGTAAATAACTCTGCTGGAGTGGCACATATATTGCTGGTATATGGGCAGATAGCCCTTGAAGTTACTTGCAGGGGTAGTGCCCTAAAGATTAAATATCTGACGTGGCAATTCATTCAACAAGCCGTTCTCTAAGAACTAGATTTCATTTGTTATCTTGTAGTGCCAACTAGTGGAGTATTTAGTACACTCATCTTATTTTTGCAGTGTGAAGTTTACAGTTCACAATGTAATGTTAAAGTTGAGAACTCTATACACTTTTGAAAAATCCTATTTTAAACTTACGAAAAAGACAACTTGGATGGATTGCCTGTGCCTGAAATTATGGTCTGTTTGATAAGTGCAGCACCAGGCTAAGAACATGACCCTATTTCTTGGAAGAAAGGCATGGTGCTTAAGACCAAAAAACCTTTGTTATCAAAGCCAGCTAGGTTTTGTAGATCCCAGTCCCAGAGAATCATCATGGTTATTAATGAAAACCAGACTGCCAAGCGCTACAGCCCTCAAGCCCATTACCTGATCTTCTGAAAACAAGACACCTTTTTGGGCATTAATTTTTTTAAATAGGTCTCCTCCTTCACAATAATCCATCACTATGAACAAGCAGCCACCTTCTGTAAACAAACAAAGAAAAATCCAAGTCTGTGAATATGACAAGTGTTTACTTACGCTGCAACATAGCAGTGAATTCCTTCATTTGTTTAGTTCAGAAACTGACAGGAGACACCAAAAATAGTGTATCTGCAGCCTGCTCCTAAATCTTATTTATATTGAAATGTTACTGATTAATGGCCAAAATCCAATTTGTCTAGTTCCATGGTACAAACCAGACAATATTATCATCCAGCAAAGGGAATATTTAAGTTAAAGTAATTAAAAACCTCCTAACCTGTCTCTTGCAGATTCTTAGGCTCCCTTTTATCTTGGGGAAGCATCAGGAATGGGGTGGGGTGGGGGTGTCAGTCTTTAATAATCAAAAATTGCCACTGTATCACAACTGGCAGTAACAACACCTGTGCCAGCAATCTGGCACCAGTTTTTGACTATTACAGGCTCTCCTATCCCAAGGCTCCAAAAGGCTTCCTCAGAACAAAAGAGAGCCCTAGTGAGCCTTGGAACCTGAAAAGGAAGGGACAGAAAACTCCTAATTACTTTAAATTAAACTTTATTGACCCAAGATAATGACATTATCTGGATGCAAGCAGGACTTTGCCCAACATGACTTACTTCTCAGGAAACATGTATAGACTCATAGTGGTGGACACAAAATACTATCTAGAAAACATCTAATAGAGTTGTTATGCTAGTGCCAAATTACATTGTACTTACACATCACAAATTTCAGACTACGCATAATGAGGAAATACAGCACAATTTCCAGTTACACATCTAATAGCACAATATCACAAAAACAAGTGCATGACTCCTTGCATCCCTGGAAAAAACAAGAGGACTTTAACACTTCACCATTTTCTTTGGCTAATGTTATTCAATATTCTCCCCCTACGATTTTCTTGCTGTCATGGTGGACTGTTTTTGAGTTTAATTTCCCATCGCCCTTGGAGGATTCCATTTTTTCTCGTCATTTTTATAATTTGCGTGTTTTCTGTTGATGGATGGTATGTGAGTGTTTTATGGGTTTATTTGTTGTTAGTTGCCCAGAATAGCAGTTTGCCACTAGATGGGCAGAATATAAATGTAATAAATAAATAAATCTTGGCCCAAATTGTGTTGCTTATTATAGTAAATTCCACTAGAATAGGCCATAAAATCAAGGGAATTTGGTCAGTCAGCTTCTCCATAAATTCCATTGATTCTGGCCCAAATTGTGTTGCTTATTGTAGTAAATTCCACTAGAGTAGGCCATAAAATCAAGGGGATTTGGTCAGTCAGCTCCTCCATAAATTCCATTGATTCCAATGGGCCTACTCAAACTTTGACTTACCTTAACACAGTAAGTCATAGTTAGAGTAGGCCTATTTGAATCAATACAATTTGGTGAGGAGTTAACTCACCAAAATCTTCATTGAATCAGCCTACTCTAGTGCAATTTACTATGCTAAGCAACAGGATCTTGGTCATTGGATTTAATTCAAGGAAAGGCTATAATCGAGAGAATAAAACAACCTTAATCAGTTCAACCCCTTTAATCTAATAAATGGTTTTATGCCTCTATATATTTCTTCAAACTGCCATAGGATTTTTCAGCCTAACCTTCAAAGGATTCTCTGTACAAAACAATATTTGGATGCTTCATGTTTGCCAATACAGCAACTTCCCTTCTTGATTCTTCTCTCTCTTTATTTGACATCTAGGGGGAAACAAAGATAAATATTTTTTTGAAGAAATACATATAACATTCTTGTAATTTTTAAAAACTTAATTAGAGAAGCTCACCTTAGATATATTGATCTCCTTAATAACATATTGCTTGCCATCTTCCTTTGATTTAACTAGAATTGCCTTTCCAAAAGATCCTTCACCAATCTTTTGCAACTTAGTGTATTTATCCATGATAACTTTTTAAGGCATCCTTATGCATGGGCTAGGGGGAAAATATATGTGTTAAAAACAATGAACTTATTTTAGTACTTGTCAAATCAAGTCCTGTACTGCAAATTAGTTTCTTTTTTTTTAACACTTACAACATTTCAACAGTTCTTTTCATGACAAAGCCTCCCATGCTTCGACTAAGCTGTAGGCAGTCTGCACTACGTTCAACAGACATCATTGTAAGATTTGTTTTGGTTAAACACTGAAATGCTTATGCATTTTACTACCTAAAGACAGTTTCACATATTACACACCAAAGGGACAAATTACTCCATTGCTAATCAGAAAAGAAAATACTACATTTATTATTGTCCAGACAGACATGTAAATTGAACCTCTGTTGTGAGCCTGATGCATGTTTACCTAGACCACTGGTTCTTAACCTTGGGTTACTCAGGAGTTTTGGACTGCAACTCCCAGAAGCCTTCACCACCAACTGTGCTGGCTGGGGTTTCTGGGAGTTGCAGTTCAAAAACATCTGAGTAACAAAGGTTAAGAACCACTGACCTAGACATCCCAGTTAAACATACAGTATTCACAAGAGAGGATTAAAACCTTGTTAATGAAATGTACTTCCAGACAGAGATCTGCATTTTAGCAAAAATAAAAAAATCAAAACTTTGGATTGCCTTAAAATTGATACCCCTCACTTATTATGGTCAAAGTGTAATAAGTGATCTAAGTGAACTACCCTGTTTCCCCGAAAATAAGTCCTAACCAGAAAATAAGCCCTAGTATTATTTTTCAGGATGCTCGTACTGTACCTTTGGATTGCCTTAAAAATGATACCCCTAACTTATTATGGTCAAAGTGTAATAACAGAGCATTTGATCTAAGTGAACTACCCTGTTTCCCCGAAAATAAGTCCTAACCAGAAAATAAGCCCTAGTATTATTTTTCAGGATGCTCGTACTGTAAGCCCTATCCCAAAATAAGCCCTAGTTAAGTGAAACCCCGCCCTCCATTGTGCAGCAACCAGAAGAAGATGGCATGACTGTATTTGAATAAATGTAGATTGTTGTACATGAGGGGAAAAAAGCATCTCCTAAAAATAAGCCCTAATGCTTTTTTTGGAGCAAAAATTAATATAAGGCCCTGTCTTATTTTCGGGGAAACACGGTATTTGGGGACACTGCAATTCAGTATTAGCATGGCTTAGGAAATGAAACTGTTGTGGAGTTCAGGATTCATCCTTCAGTCTCGAAAGACTATGGTGTCGTGCTCTGTATAGAGGACTTGGAACAGCGTCTAGTGTGGCTGAGAAGACCAATTCGAGAGTGACAATCCTTTCCACACTGAAGACAAATCCAGTCTGTACCCTGTCCGGCTCCCTGATTTTGCTGCTTTCGTGACTGGCTCTTTGCCTCGGCCTGCTAAATGCAAGTTTACTCATTAATTCGAGAGTGACAATCCTTTCCACACTGAAGACAAATCCAGTCTGCACCCTGCCCAACTCCCTGATTTTGCTGCTTTCGTGACTGCCTCTTTGCCTCGGCCTGCTAAATGCAAGTTTACTCATTTATTAACTGATTTTTTAATATGTCCCATCTTTCTTCCAATAAAGGATTTCAAGGTGCTTTACTGAATATAAGACAAATGTAGCTAAATTTAGAATAAAGTACAATACTGTATTAGAAAACAATTAAACATATTGGTTGAAATCCTGTTGCTGTAACTTATACTGGATAATGATATCATCATGAGCAGAATTTTTTTGAGAAACTGACTCCTCTCATGAAGCTCCCATGGCTGCCCTTATTTTATTTATTTATTTTTTAAATTTATACCTCGCCCATCTAGACCGAAGTCTACTCTGGGCAGCTAACAATAATAGATTAAATAAAAACAATTAATAAAATAAAAAACAACAGTAATAATATAATTCAAGATGGGAAAAATAATCAGGTGATGACAGGAGGGAAAGCCTGCCTAAAGAGACAGGTCTTAAGTTTGCTCTTAGTATTCACTGTATTTGAATATAGCAGTCTGCTCTGAAAAACACCCAGCAAGGGAGCCAGACAGATCTCTGGGGGCAGACTGTTCCAAAGGCGAGGAGCTACTGCCAAGAAAGCCTGGTTTCTTGTTTTTTCTCTCCGGGCCTTCCTCAGCAGGCCCCTCAGCCTCCCTTCCTGGCTATAATGAGTGGTTCGGATAGATCTAGGTGGGAGGAGGCATTCCACTAGATATCGAGGTCCTAAACCGTTTAGGGCTTTATATGTCATCATTCACTTTGAAATCAATGCGGGAACGAACGGGCAGCCAATGCAAGGCAGCCAGAGTGTTGGAAATATGCTGATATTTTCTCACCCAAGTGAGAAGTCTGACAACCACGTTCTGCACCATTTGAAGCTTCTGCATCAATCTCAAAGGTATCCCCACGTAGAGTGCATTACAGTGGTCTAATCTCGAGATTACAAGCGCATGGACCAGAGTGGTGAGTGCCCCAACATCAAGATAGGGATGCATCTGGGCAATCCGCCACAGATGGAAATAGGCAGAGTGGACCACTGACACCACCTGGGTTTCCATGGTGAGTGCCAGATCCAGATAGACCCTCCAAGCTGCGAACTTCACTCTTTGCAGTGAAAGTCACTCCCCCAAAAGACAAGAGTTTCCCAAACCACCAATGGAGGGGCCACCCACCCTCAGGATTCCACCTTGTCCGGGTTCAGCCTCAGTCCATTCTTCTGCACCCATTGCAGTACAGCCTCCAGGAAGTGCTGAAGGGACGGAACAGCATCCAGTGTGGTTGGGGAAAAGGAGATGTAGAGCTGGGTGT